AAAATGTCAATAGTTCGCAAGATACAAGGTCATTTCTTAATTATTGACATTTTTTAAGATATAAACTCATTTTGATGTTCCACTCATCAAGACCTTTTATTTGAGTACCCACATGCATTTTTCATATATTTTTCATATATACATATATATAAATATATAAAATATATGAAAAATTGATGCGGGTACTGAAATGAAAGGTCTCAATGAGTGTAATATCGGGATGAGCTTATATCTTTAAAAATGTCAAGATTTCACAAGATACAAGGTCTTGATAATTTCTTGATAATGTACCTAGAGATGGAGCATTTTCGAATGCAGCCTAAATACTTATGATAAAAAATTGACTTTGGGTGAGAATGATATGAAACCTTGAAAAGGCACAAATTAAATTCAAGACCTTTGCAATGACACTAAATTTCACTAAAAAAACCTATTTTATCATATGAATATCCTGAACACAAAATTTTTCTTATTCTCTTAATAATATCGATTATATTTTACAGAAGAGTTTCAAGAATGATATTCGCATCAGCAAACCAGCCCATGACCTGGCGTACATTAATCTGGTGTATAACGATCTCATTTTTAGTTGGTTTTTTTATGAAAGACGTTGTATCGTTAAGAACATACGATGGACCCCTTCGTTGGTCGTCATTTCAAGAATTTTTGGGGCGCCATAAAAGAGTTAAAAATACTGCAGCTTTGCCGCTTTGAAATATTCTACATTAAAAGATAAAAAATATTCTCTGTTTAAATATATCATATTAGTATTTTTATAAATTTTAAAAATTGTAAAAAAAAATATGTAAACACTCAATCAATTTTTGTATATGCGAATATGTATTTTGTTGAATTTAAATTAATCATTTTTAAATGCTGGTTCATTTTATTCTTGAAAATTCAATCTCTGCTTTTGCTTTTAGAGAGTTTAATTATAATTAATCTATTAAGAAATTATACTTATATTAATAATATTGTCTTTATAAAAAAAAAAAATTGTTTTTAAATTTGCCGCTAGTTTATTCCAAATCGCTCTTACCGACTTAATTACATTTTTCTAACCTCAACCTTTTATGCAATTGGGTATTTATATATACACAATATATTATTCACTCTTTAAATTGCTTTAAATTTAGTGTGCTTGCTTGAGTGAAACACGTGGGAACTATCTCATATGCTAAATAAAAGATTTATTTGTTATAATAACAAAAATAGTCACATTTTCATAATTTAAAAAAAGAAAACTATTAAAAAAAATTTTTTTTATAATTATTATAAAAATCAACGGTAAGTGTAATTTTATTGCGTATGTATTTTTGGAGGTTATAAAAGATGTTAATTATTTTTTCTAAATTAGTTGATTAAAATAAATTTTTTTGTTGATAGTTGATTAAAAAATGGGGAAGTTACGTCCACGAGCACCAACCCGTAAAGGTGCTAAGCGTTGGCCAAAAGGTCAAAGTTCAAACTCCAATCCGGAGACTAAAAAATACAGAAATCAAGCCAGATCAGGATTTGGCCAGCCAACTTTAGGTAAGAAATTGCTTAAAAATTTGTGATATTGAATTTAGCAAATATCTAACCATTTTTTAGATTTTTATAACAATTAAATTACTAGCAACCTTGCAGTCACTATGTGACTGCCGTGACTGGTGAACTATAAATAAATAGAATTTTGGTTTATTGAATAATAAATTTTGTTAAATTGCACTGTATTTTGTGAACTATTGACTTTTTTAAAGATATAAGCTCATCCTGATGTCATACTCGTCAAGAGCTTTCATTTGAGTACCCACATGCGTTTTTGATATATTTTTCATATATACATATATATAATATTTATAAATATATAAAATATATGAAAAATTGATGTGGGTACTCAAATGAAAGATCTTGACGAGTGTTATATCGGAATGAGTTTATATCTTTAAAAATATCAATAATTGAGAAATTATATTGTATTTTGGCCACTAATGATATTTTTAAAGATATAAGCTCATCCCGATGTTATACTCATCAAGACGTTTCATTTAAGTACCCACATCAATTTTTCATATATTTATGTATTTTATATATATATATATATACAAAATATATGAAAATTAATGTGGGTACTTAAATGAAACGTCTTGATGAATGTAACATCGGGATGAGCTGGGTACTCAAATGAAAGCTCTTGATGAGTGTAACATCAGGATGAGCTTATATCGTTTAAAATATCATTGGTAAACAAAATATAACGTCATTTTTTAACCATTGACATTTTTAAAGATATATGCTCATTTCAATGTTACACTCATCAAGAGCTTTCATTTGAGTACCCACATGCATTCTTCATATATTTTTCATATATACATATATACATATATATAAATATATGAAATATATGAAAAATTGATGTAGGTAGTCTTGATGAGTGTAAAATCGGGATGAGCTTATATCTTAAAAAATGTCAATAGTTCTCCAGATACAAGGTCATTTCTTAATTATGTATCTAGAGATAGAGCATTTTCGAACGCAGCCTAAGTACATAATAATAAATTGACTTTTGATGAGAATGATAGGAAACCTTGAAAATGCACAAATTCAAGTCAGACCTTTCCAAGGATACCAAATTTACCTATAAAACCCTTATTATCACATATATACACTCTCCACAAAATTTTGCTCATTCTATTAATAATATCGATTATAATTAAAAAATTCCATTTTTAAAACCTATTTATTTATAATAATTTATTTCGTTCAATTATTGTGTCTACCAATTTCCTCCGTACATGTTTATAATATGAAAAGTTAATCGACATCTAAAATTTTTTATAAATTTTGTTATTAAAAAAATTTTCATCTAAAAAACTACACGTGCAATTTTAAAAAAATATTTCGTAGTACTAATTAAATAATAAATAAAAATCATCACCTAACTTCAGTACATACTCATAATGATCTTTGGCTTAAATTAACAAACTACATTAACAATTTTTTTCATCAGGACCCAGTCGTCTAACAACAGAAGCAGTAAAGAGATTAGACGCCCTCCAAGGACTAGAATCCTCCGAAAAAATCGAGATCGACAATGATTTCGACGACGCCAGTTCCACAGCAGATACATTCAAAACCTTCGGAACATTCGCCAGTAACTACAGTAACTGTTCCAACACTTCCTTCAGCCGTTTCCTAACTCACTTCCAATCAACCTCCTTAATCCACAAAGAGATGCTCGCAATCTTAACCGCAGTGACCGAAGTAATAAAGCAAAACGGAGGAACAGAATCATCAACCGAGTACTACGCAGCTTTAATGACAACTCTAGAGCAAGCCTATTCTAACGAATCCGAAAACTCAGCTAATTCTTCAGAATCTATAGCAGCTATTTTATCCCTCCTAGGAATGGGTTTAAAAACAGTCCCCAAGAACGTTCTTAAAGCTCAGTTCAGCCAAGCAAACAAAGTATTCATCCAAATTCTCGAGAGATACATCGAGCGTGAAAACTATCTAATAATCCGTCACTGTATCGGGTGTCTCTCCGTTTTATTACGAGCACAAGAGGCAATTACTTGGTCTAATTCCTCCACAATGCAAATTCTTTACGGAATTCTTTCATTAACTATTCATTCAAAACCAAAAGTCCGGAAAGCAGCTCAACATGCTGTGTGTGCTATTTTAAAAGGCAGCGAATTAATGAAAGAAAATCCACCAGCTTATCATCCAGCAGCACCAGAAATAGCCAAGCACTGCCTCAAGCAATTTGAAGACGCAGGTAAGCCAGGAACTATCACTTCAACTCTTCATATTTTAACCCTATTAAAAGATATAATTCACCAATTGCCCAAAACATATGTTAAGTCAATTTGCGAAGGACTGTTGCGTATAATGGTCCTAAAAAATGTCCTAATATCTTCCTGCTGTTTGCAAACATTCCACAGTCTCTTTATTTCAAAACCCAATGAGTCAATCTTACCCTCAAAATTAAACGCTCAGATTATAAACGCGTTGCACGAAATCCAACCCAATCGCGGAGATACTCAGCTTACTCTAGCTTGGCTTGCAGTAATGCAAGAAGCTCATGTAAATCTTTCCGTAAATTCTTTAAATCTTTGCGCAGCAAATATCCATCAGATAATCCTAAAAGCTAGCGAGCTTTGGCTATCAGACAAACCTGAAATAATTACTGCTGCATCGCACACTGTAAAAACTCTTCTTCAAGTATGTGTAGCTCCGCTATGCGAAAGTGAAATTACAGCGCGTAAATATGAAAAGACAATTAGGGAAATTATTTTGTTGATCAGAAGTGGAATGCAGTTGAGGTACAACTCAGCTTGGCACCACATTCTTCATTTACTAGCTGTGCTTTTCCAAATTGCTGGAACTAAGTGTCAAAATGAATTGGCGCCTATTTTAAGCGACCTTTGTGAATTGAGAGACACGCATAAGTTCACTTACAATTCTGAAGTTGAGTTTGCAGTTGGAGCCGCTGTTAAAGCTATGGGTCCGGAAAAAGTCCTTGAAATAATTCCTCTGGTTACTTCTCATGGGATTTTTGATCTAAAGAGAAGCTGGCTGTTGCCCGTTTTGAAAGATTGTATCACTTCTGCACCACTTTTTTACTTTAAAGACATCCTAATCCCTCTTGCTACAAATTGTGAGAAATTAAGTCTAGGATTAAAGGCTAAAAATGACAGAATTATGTCGCATAGTTACGGATTGTTAACTTCACAAATCTGGTCGCTTTTGCCAAATTTCTGCAACAATCCTCCTGATATTGAAAAGAGCTTCAAAGAAATTGCAAGAATTCTTGGTACAATTCTCAGCGAGAAAAAGGATTTAAGAATATTTGTAATGACTGCTTTGCGTAGATTAATAACTCGCTCTATAGAAAGTGACAAAAAGGAAGATATTAAAACCCTAGCTAACTACTCAAAAAATTATTTACCACTTTTATTCTCTTTTTATACAACTCAGCCCAAAGATACTGTTGAAGAAGGCCAACGCCTTGCAGCATTTGACACAATAAAAGCTTACTTGAGTATAACACCTCCCGAATTGTGCAAAGATTTGCTCAACACTGCGCTAACTAAATTACAATCTGAAGAAAATGACTATAGTAAGCAAGCTTTGTTCAGTTTGATCAGAATTTTGGTCCAGTTTACTGACCAAGAACGTCTTCTTGAACTATACAATAAATGCGTGGTTATATTTAAGAGTACCAAGCAACCAAAAGAACAAAAGCAGGCTTACAAATTTCTGGAAGAAATTTTGGGAAGTGAGAAGGAAATTTGCAAAGAATTTGTTCAGGAAAATTACAAAGCTATTCAGAAAGTTGTAATTGGAGCTGCTACAAGTGTTTGCACAATTAGCAGAGCTTCTCGTTTGCGCTGCATTGATTATTTGATAAAATATAATCAAAATTTGGAGAAGATTAAGTTTTTGGAAGCTATTGTCCCGGAAGTTGTGATGTGCGTTAAAGATGTTAAAGCTAAATGTCGCACGTTGGCTTATCAAGTGTTGAATAATATCGCGGATAGATTGTTGGACAAAGGGGATAGTTTTGATAAGTATATTCAGATAATTGTAGCGGGATTGGGAAGCAATCCTGCTTTTATTCATGCTACTTTGTTGAGCTTAGCTAGTTTGACTTACAAGTACACTGGGTCGATTGGAATTAGCAGAGCTAAGGAAATTCTTGAGCTTACTTGCACACTTTTAACTGGACCTGCTAGAGAAATTGTTTTATCAGCGCTTTGTTATGTCAAGGTTTATTTATCAGCTTTTCCCATTGCGATTATTGGGCCTGATTTGCAGATTATTATGAAGGGCATTACGGGAATGACTGAAGATTGTAAGCGACATTTCAGGCAGAAAGTTAGGGACATTTTGACTAAATTAATTCGGAAGTTTGGTATTGAGCCTATTTCTGAATTCATTCCGCAGTCGGATGAGATTATGCATAAAAGGATTAAGAATATTAGGAAGATTGAAGCGCGTAAGCAGAAAATTAAGGAAGAGAGGAAGTCTAAAGGAGAAGGAGACAGTGATGAAGAATTTAGTGTTAAGAGAAAGCCTAAAAGCATTGAAGATATTTTGGCTGATAGTGATGAAGATTTTGATGATACCGATGATGGTGGTGGGGATAATAAGAAGAAACAGGCGCCTAAGATTTGGATTAAGGAAAATGAAGATGATATTATGGACTTTACTGATCCTGCTGCGATGAAGAATATTACTTCTAGTAAACCTGGCTCTGCTAATTTGGAGAAGAAGACTAAGCTTAATAGGGGATTTAAAACTGATGATGTTGGAAGGTTGATTATTAAGGATAGTGATGATGATAGTGAAGAAGAAAAGGTTGGGAAAAAGAAGAAACAATTGCCGTTCCTTGGGGAAGATTCTGATGATGATCCTGATAAGGATGATGAGGATGAGGATGGGGAATTGGGTTCGAAATTCCCGAGAAAGAGGAAGCTCAGTGGAAGTACTGATGCTGGGAGTGTTGCTACTAGTGTTGCTAGCAAGTCGGTGTATAAACCCGGTGGATCGGGAATCCATCGGCCCTTGAAATCAGCCAAGTTGGATAAGACACTTGGTGCTGAGTATAGGTCTAAGAAAGCTGCTGGGGATGTTAAGAAGAAGGGCAAGCCTGATCCTTATGCTTATGTTCCTTTGACTAGGGCTTCGTTGAATCGTAGGAAGAAAATGAAAAATGCTAGTAGGTTTAAGGGGGTTATTTCTGGGGCTAAGAAAGGCGCTCAGATGGGCAAAAAAGCGAGGCGGAAGATGTAATTTTTTTAGATATTAATAATATTCATTAATTTTCTATAATTAGAGTTAGATATGAAATTAAATAAAAAATAGAGTTATTATTAAATTTTTCAAATATTTATTTCAATGATCCAAAATTACATTCAATCGTTGAAATTGAGTGGTAGCAGTTGATTTCTGTAAAAAAAAAATGTTTAAATAAATAAATGAAATTAAAAAAAAATGATTTAATTTTTTTAATTGTTTTATGGTAACATGATTCTTGATCCTCTGACAAAATATCCCCGACAAAATAGGGTAGAAGTACCGTTTTTGCCCAGTTAACATTTGAATTAATTTATAAAAAAATTACAATATTATAACCATATTTTTTTTGAGTTTTAAAAAATTTATATTGAAACAAATTGAGTTTGTAATGATTTAATAACATAAATTCATTTCTACCGTTTATTTGAACAATAAATGGTACAGTGGCCACAAACGGTACTTCTACCCTATCTTAAATAATTAAATTTTTTTAATAAATAAATAATCAGGTTTTAGTCGATCCTGGAGCCTTAACTCCCTTAGGACCATCAAGATTTTATTTTATTTTTTTACAGTGATTCGGACGTAGACATAATTTTAAATATTTAGAATATTTTGACGATTGATATTAATATTAATGTTAACAACGATAATATATATCAAGTGATAATTTAAATTTTTTGATTTTTTTTTAATAATTAAATTAGAACAAAAAAATATTTTTTAAAAATTGCACTTACAGTTTTTATAAGTGAAAAATTTTTTTTAATCATTTTTTCAATAAAAAAAAAATTATAAAAATTTTTCAGTGTCGGCTAACTTAATTTTCATTAAGTTATTTATAAGGATTTTGTTACTTATATTTGTAAAAAGAAAGCGTTAAAAATAAAATCCTTTCTCAAAATAGAAAAAAAAACCCGTGATGTGTCTTTTTATCATGAATTTTGTGTGATATTTAGTCTCGGGGATATTTTGTCGAAGGATCAAGACACCTGATACCTTATTTTATATACTTACATTAATTACGTCGATTTTTTAGGTAGCATGCTTTCTAATTCTCCATTTTCGTTCATTTCTTTAACAATATCAAGACCTCCTATCAATTCACCTTTAACGTACAGTTGAGGGTAAGTAGGCCAGTCACTGAATTTTTTCAAGCCCTCTCTCACGTCATTATCTTGAAGAATATCGAACGTTTGGTAATCTGTGTTAAAAGAGTCCAATATCCCAACAATTGTTCTGGAGAATCCACATCTTGGAGTAACACGATCACCTTTCATGAACAACATACACGGAGCCTTGTTTATCAATTGCTTTAAACGCTCTTCCAGACTAGCTGGCTTGCAAATTTCATCAGCTGCCGAGGGACTAGATAAGTGCTTTGTTATTTTTTCTCCAATTAACGCAGGATTGACTCCATCAACTCTGTCGACCAGTTTTGAATTTTTAATTAACACTACTGTTGGCACCGCGGTGATTTTATACTGGATAGAAGCATCAGGGAAGTTTTCAGCTTCGAGTTTTGCATATTTAGCTTTTTTGTACTCATCTGCTACAGCCAAAGTGTCGAATAAATCATTTATTTGACTACATTGCTCAGCCCAAGGTGCAAAGAAATGTATAACCAATAATTCTTGAGACCTAAAACCATAAAACTAGATTAAGAAAATTGTAAATTAATTTAGCAGATATTTGATAATTTTAAAAAATACTATAACAAAAAAATAATGACAAAAAAAATGACTTTTAGAAATTTATTTAAGAAAAAGAAAAATGCAATTTTGTAAAAATAAATTTTTAGAATACATTTGTTAGTTAAATAAAACAATCTTAACTATCGTGACTAGCAAACTATAAATAAATAAAATTTTGCTTTATTAAATAATGACTTTTGTTAAATTGGACCGTATTTTTTTAACTATTAACATTTTTAAAGATATAAGCTCATTCCGAAGTTACACTCATCAAGAGCTTTCATTTGAGTACCCACATGCATTTTCATATATTTTATATATATTCATGTATGTAATATATATAAATATATGAAATATTGATGTGGGTACTCAAATGAAAGGTCTCGATGAGTGTAACTTCAGGATGAGCTTATATCATTAAAAATATCATTAGTGGACAAAATACATCGCCATTGCTTTATTATTCACATTTTTTAAAATATAAGCTCATCCCGATGTTACACTCATCAAGAGCTTTCATTTGAGTACCCACGTGTATTTTGATATATTTTTCATATATACATATATATTATATATTTATATAAAATATATGAAAAAATGATGTGGGTACTCAAATGAAAGGTCTTAATGAGTATAACATCGGGACGAGCTTATATCTTTAAAAATGTCAATAGTTCACTAGATAAAAGGTCATTTCTTAATTATGTATCTAGAGAAAAAGCATTTCCACATGTAGCCTAAATACTTATCATAATAAATTGACTATTGGTGAGAATGATATCAAACCATCAAAATCCATTTTATCATATAAATACACTGGCCACAAAGTTTTGTTTATTCTTTTAATAATATAGATTTAACAATGTTAAAATAACTGCTAACTTTAATATCAGAACTAGGTTAGGATTTATAGAATTCTAAAATTTATATTTTTCTTAACAATAAAAACTCACTTGAGAAATTCATTTAAATCTTCAGCAGAATTTAGAAGTGACACGCTCATTTTTAGTTTTTATTTTACTAAATTAATCCACAAAAACAATAAATAAACCGGAACCACACTCAATACTCAAAACACAAAAATACACTTCGGTAAGTTTTTTTTATTTACTTATATATCGAGTGCGACTGCAGCACTGCAGCGACCTCTATAAGAATCAGCGCCACATTTAATTTACGATCTAACGGAAATAATTATCAGATATTGCGTAAGATCCAACGGAAAGTTCCAATTGTTTTCATCGGTCGCGCCCTGTCACCAGTGTCAACAGCAGCACAACATCGGCCATCTGTTGGTGTCACACATTCTTATCATCATCATCATCATCATCATCATCATCACTATTATTATATACACACTTACTCACACACAGTGACACTTTTATAGTGTATGAGAAAAAAAAAAGTATTATGAGTGTAAAGACCGCGAGAGAAACATAACTGTCACGCATCTTGTTGAGGAAAAAAAAGGGTCGGCCAGATGCGTTCGCACAACGTCACGTGCGCTTGGCGATTTTTTTATACTGCCGGGAGTACGGACCATGTCCAAATTGTCAAGGTCTGAAGCTATTAAACACATCAAAAATTGGACCACCGACGAGGTCATTCAAGCACTCAAAAAGGTAAAATTATTTTTAATAATTTTTAAGTACAATTTTATCACAGTGTTGATCATAAAGTTACATACATGGAATGTTATGTAGGAAGATAAATATTTTTTTTTTAAGTCAATATTATTTTTCATTTTTTTTTTTCATTTACTTTCGCTTAATTTAATTAAATGTTTATTTAATTTTCAGAATGGTCTTGATGAGTGCTGTGAAGCTGTATTGAAACGTCAAATTGATGGTGATGAACTTTGGGTATGTTGATCATGATTAGATATAAAAAAAAAATCAATATTATGATTGAGTTAATTGTTAATAATTGATATTGATTAGTCATCTAAAAATGAATAGTATAGACACATTTTAATTTTATTCTCAATTTTATTTACTATTTATTTATAAATTGTTTACTTTACTTTTTTATTTAGCTACATATATTTATGAAAATTAAGTTAGCCGAGATTTAAAAACTTTTAGAATTTTTTTTTATTGAAAAAAATATTTTAAAAAATTTTTAATTAGAAAAAACTTGAAAACCTAATTTTTAAAACAATAGTTTTTTATGAAAATTAAATTTACCAACATCTTGAAATTTCTATAATTGATTTTATTAAGAAATAATTTTTAAAAAATTATAAGAAGAAATTTTCAAGCTTGTAGAATTTTTTTTTATTGGAAAAAATAGTACAAAAAAATTAAAAAAAATTTTCAATTGTAAAAAACTTGAAAAATTGTAAGTGCAATTTTTAAAAAATATTTTTAATGAAAATTCAATTAACTAACATCTTTAAATTCCTATAATTGATTTTATTAAAAAAATTGAAAGAAGAAATTTTAGAATTTTTTTTTATTGAAAAAATTATTACAAAATAATAAAAAAAAAATATCACTTGTAAAAAACTTGGAAAATTGTACAAGTAATTTTTTAAAAATATTTTTTAATGTAAATTAAATTAACTGACATCTTGAAATTTCTATAATTGATTTTAATAAAAAATACTTTTTAAGAAATTAAAAGAAATTTTCAAATTTTTAGAATTTTTTTTTATTTATAAATTTGTTAAAAAAAATTTTTTTTAAATATTTTATTTGTAAAAAAACTTGACAAACTATAAGTGCAATTTTTAAGTTCTAATTTAATAAATGAAAAAACATATAAAAATTAAAAAACCTCGGCTAACTTTAGTATTATCATATATTTAACATTCCCTGAGTAAATTCGCATTCATTGAAGCGTCTGTAGATTCGTAATTGCGATACGAGGAAAAAAAAGAAAAGAGAAACTCTGATTTCACTAAAGTAAATGAAATGAATCGTGTGAATCGTCATCAGTAAACATCTGGAAGGCAGCCCGCATTATCCACTTACTCTTTTTTTTTTTTTTTTTTTTTTTTAATTAGTTATATTAATAAAATACGATTATATTAATATAGTTTATTTTACATAATATTTAATTAATAATTAGTCATGTTATTTTCTCGTGGTGATGTTACGAAGAATTCGCTGGTTAAATGGAATCTCTTATCGGTATATACATCCGGTCATAGTTTTATCATTTTTATTATTTATTTTAGACTCGACAACTGTTTAAATGATTTTAATGCCTTTAATTACTCGACAGCACTTGACGGAGGGAAAATTAGCGCTTTGGAAGCGTGACTTAACGCGTTCACAAACATGGTAAATATATTTTATATTTAAAATTATTTTAATTAGTATTCTTGCAGTCACTATATGACTGCCGTGACTTGTAAACTATAAACAAATTAAATTTTGCTTTATTAAATAATTACTTTTGGTAAATTGCACTGTACTTTTTTAACTATTGACGTTTTTAAAGATATAAGCTCATCCTGATGTTACACTCATCAAGAGCTTTCATTTGAGTACCCACATGCATTTTTGATATATTTTCCATATATACATATATATGACATATATAAATATATAAAATATATGAAAATTGATGTGGGTACTCAAATGAAAGGTCTTGATGAGAGTAACATCAGGATGAGCTTATATCGTTAAAAATATCATCAGAGGACAAAATACAACGTCATTACTATATTATTCACATTTTTTAAGATATAAGCTTTATCCTGATGTTACACTCATCGATACCTTTCATTTAAATACCCACATGGCAATTTTTATATATTTTATATATATAAATGAAAGGTCTCGATGAGCGTAACATCGGGATGAGCTTATATCTTAAAAAATGTCAATAATTCACAAGATACAAGGGAATTTCTCAATTATGTATCTAAAGATAGAGCATTTTTTAATGCAGCCTAAATATTTATAATAAATTATTTATAATAAATAATGTATATTAGTAATTAACTGGGATAAAGGGTATTTAATTATTTTATTTTTTTCCAGGAGTCTTTGGGGATTTGTCGAGGAGCTAAATCGTGCGCCGGAAGAGCATGTATCAGTGGCGAGTATAGTTCAAGTGGATCAAGAACCCGTCAGCGATTCTGGATCATGGGGAACAGACTTCGAAGACGACGAAGAGGACGATGACCCACTATCCAAAAAAAATCCTGTGCTACGTAAAAATAATCCAACTCTACAGCAACGCACAGACTTTCGAAATAGTTTAATGATGTTTCAGAAGCACGAAAAACTTGCTCAAGAAATTAATAATACTTCTACTTGTACTAATAAAACTAATAATAGGCCTGATAGTATTTATATGAACTGCGGATCTGAGTCAAGTGCTGCAGATCAAGAGAATGCTTACATGAATTTTGAGCAGGAGGAGAAATTAAAGTCCAAAACTGTCTTGCAGTTACACAAAAAATTTGAACAAACGCTGGCTTGTCAACTGAAGGAACAATTGAAATTACGATACCCTGAAAGTAAGCCAACAATTAAAAAACCTGAAATGCCGGACAGATCTACAAAGCCGAAAACTAAAGTATTTTCTCCAGCAAATACACCGAGCCAAGTTGTTGATGGTAAAGAAATAAAAAAACCTGCTGTTCCTCCACCAAGGCCTGAAAAATGTCCACGAGTGTTTGAAAAATCTGACGATCTTCCTAAACCTCCGGTGATGCTTAGAAATTTTGACCTTGTGGCTAATCTGCCAACTAAAACAGATGAAAGTGAGGATGAGTATGAGGCTTTTGATGAACAAATTATTGAACAAAATCGTATTAAACTGGGGAGTAATCAATCACTTATACAAAAATCTATTGAAAATGTTTATAAACCTCCTAGTACAACGAGCCAAGAAAATCAAGAAGATTATGAGATTTATGAATGCATTACAGAGAGTGTAAGTATTTTTAGTGGATATATACAAATGGGGTCAATCATTTTAATTTTCATTTTTTTGAACGAAATTTATGAAAATTAATTTATCAAATTTTAATAACTTTTTTAATAAATTATGGTGAAAAAATTGAAATTTTAAAAAGTTAAAAATGGAATTTTTGAAAAATAACTTTTAGGAAGAAATTTATTTGTTAAAAAAAAATAAAAAAATAGCCAAGGCTGTTAACTTTAATATAATACGAAATTTCTATTTAATTTTATTGATATATTTTTTTTTGAAAAATACATGAAAAAATAAACAATAAAAAAAAAGTTGACTATCACAATTTTAACAAATTTTCAAAAAAATTTATAAATTTTTTAGAAAATTGTGATATCCAACTTTTTATTTAAAAATTGTTTGTTTTTTTATTTACTTTTCAAAAAAAAATCAAAAAAAGATAAAATAGAAATTTTATCCAAAAAACATGAGAGCCAAAATTTTTTTCAACTTTTGAAGGCAAAAAAGCTATCAAAATCTTTGTTTTTTTTTCACGACATTTTTTATCAAAAATGCAGAATAAAAAAACTAAAAAATGTTACTTTTTCTCCTAGATATGGTCAAAAATAGATTTGACCTCACTTGTAAATAATTACTAGGTTTATTATTTTTTATCCTTATATTTATAAAATGGCATTTGATATCGTGTGCATTAATCTAACTATATGTTTTAGCCGGACGACAATGCTTATTACATTCAACCACTTCCGAATCCAAACGCAAATGATCCACTGCCGACGTCGGTAATTTCAAGTACAATAGAATCAACTCCCACGTTAACGTCATCAACAAGATCTCTAAATAAAATTGGTTGGTATTAAATTTTTCACTTAAAATTATCAAAAAAAAAAAAAAAAAAAAAAAAAAAAAAAAAAGTCTTAGAAAAAAAAAATAATGAGCAGAACAACACGTGTAGTGCAACTGGCTGCAAACCACTTGCATTTTACTGCTAGTACACTCAGTCGCTTTTAGTTCATTGACAAACAAAGTACTTAGCTCATTAAATTTAGAATGAATAATTAAATCAAATGGCAATGAAATGCAAAAACAAAGTGGAAAATGTTCGTGTTTTTATTTAAGAATTACGCGTGGTCTTGTTATTGGTTTGGGTTCGCGTTTGATTAATGAAGTGATTGATATGATTGTTCGGATAAAGCAGGCAATGTCGAAATGTTGCTATACACCGGAACATGAAATTTCGGTTCATTCAGGTTAGATTAATTAAAATTAGTATGGCATGTAATTAAAATGACTAAAATGTCTATTTTTAAATGAAACTTTACGAAATTTACCTCATGCTGAGAGACCACCGGACTGCCTAACGCGGTGCTCAGTCTACAGTAATACTTCAGAGTTTAGTAGTGTCTTTCTAGTCAATCGAATCACATCTAGTTTAGTTTTTATTGAATTTACAAATATTTATACATTATTATTATTATTATTATTATTATTATTATTATTATTATTAAAAAATGGCATTAGTTAGTGGTTCAAAACGTTCTATATCACTTAATACATCTATGCGAAAACAAGCAAGTCTATCAGAATGTTTAACTTCGGCAGCACTCACACAGGCTCGTCTCAATCTTTCAAGTCAGTAAAAGTTTCACAATCAAAATCTCAATATTTTATTTTTCATTTAAAATAAAAATGAATTACAATTAGCAACCTTGCAATCACTATGTGACTGCCGTGACTTGTGAACTATAAATAAATAAAATTTTACTTTATTAAATAATGACTTTTGTTAAATTGAACTGTACTTTCTTAAATATTGATGTTTTTAAAGATATAAGATCATTCCGATGTTACACTCATCAAGAGCTTTCATTTGAGTACCCACATGCATTTTTGATATGTTTTTCATATATACATATATATATGATATATATAAAAATATAAAATATATGAAATATTGATGTGGGTACTCAAATGAAAGGTCTCAATGAGTGTAGTGTCGGGGTGAGCTTATATCTTTGAAAATATCATTATATAGCAAGATGCAATGTCATTTTTTAATTATTGACATTTTTAAAGATATAAGCTCATCTCGATGTTACACTCATCAAGAGCTTTCATTTGAGTACCCACATGCATTTTGATATATTTTTCATATATACATATATATAATATATATATAAATATATGAAAAATCGATGTGGGTACTCAAATGAAAGGTCTCGATGAGTGTAACATCGGGATGAGCTTATATCTTTATAAATGTTAATAGTTCACGAGAAACAAGGACATTTCTCAATTATGTATCTATAGATAGAACATTTTCGAATGTAGCCTAAATACTTATAAATTGACTATCGGTGAAAATGATATAAAACCTTGAAAAGGCACAAATTTAAATCAAGACCTTTGCAATGACACTAAATTTTACTTAAAAACCCGATTTTATCATATGACTATCCTGGACACCAAATTTTTCTTATTCTCTTAATAATATACATAACATTAGGCTGATTTTTTCATCATGATAATAACAAATTTATATTTATTTAATTGCAGAACGTTCACCAGAAAAAAAATCAGCAACCTTACCACACTCTGGCAGTAACACATCTCTATCAGCGGAAATGAGAGCTACTCGACCGTTACCACCACCTCCGTTTGGACAATCTTACATGGAATCATCGTGGTTTCATAATGTTACACGCGAGCAAGCTATTCTTCTTATCAAAGAACGTAAGAATAATTTTATGTTTACATTAACTATCAAGGTCATCATCTACCTGATAATAATTTAATTTTAATTTATTAATTAATAGGCGCTCGTAATGGATATTTTTTACTAAGACCATCGACGTCAGATCTCAATAATCCTTTAGTTCTTGTGCTTTGGTTTAAAGACAGAGTTTATAATGTTCCTGTAAGAAAAAGAACTGATAGCAGGTAAATTAAATTATAAAATTTTTTAATGTAAAATAACAGACCCAATTATTGACACTTACAATTTTATTTTAATTAAAAGAAAAAAAAAATTAACTCTTATAAATTAATAAACATAATTTTTAAGTTATAAATTTTAAAATATTTTTATTTTTGAGATTACTTTATATTTTTAATTAAAATAAAATTGCAAGTGTCAATAATTGGGTCTTTTACCTTAAATTATTTATTTTTTTTTTTTAAATAAATAAATAAATAAATAAGACAATTTATTTTTTTATAGATATGCATTAGGATCATTAAAAGCTGACGAACAAACTTTTGCAACTGTCGAAGAAATTGTTAAATTTTATTCAAAAGAAGAATTAGTTTTATACTCCGGTGGAATACAAATGGGTCGTACGAGATTAACTGATACGCCTTCTAAATGATAAATATTAATATACCATCAGTGCATTTTAAATAAATTTTAATAAAGTTAGATTTAAGAGTGATATAAATTTAATATGATGAAGAATAATGAGTCTGTTTTTTATGACTGATTTTTGTATGAATTTTATAAATTACGGTTTATAATATTACTTAATAACTATTTTTATGGATTTTAATTAAATACGTATAATTTATATTTTAACATATCATAAGTGCACTTAAATGTTTATCGATAATTTATCACACCACAAGTGCAATTAATAATTATATATTTAAAAGAAATGTGCATTTATTTCTTATAAGAAAAAAAAACGATAGTATAATCTCTCTAATATTTTTATGTTAAAAATGTGATCAAAATAAAATATAAATAAATATAAATTGTATTAATTAAATATCACTTTTTTTTTTTTTTAATTCCACTTATTTTGATAATTAATCTTTTTCAGTTGACATTTTTTTATCAAGAGTATTGAAAAATATGATTAGCAATGTTTGAAGGATTATTTTATTTGATTTATTTATTTAAATAAATTATTAAATAGTCTATATTATTGATAAAATAATAAAAAATTTGTCCCCAGAATAGTCATATGATAAAATCAGTTTTTTTAATGAAATTTAGTGTAATTGTAACGGTCTTGACTCCAATTTGTGCCTCTTCAAGGTTTTATATCGTTCTAATCAGTAATCAATTTGTTATGATAAGTATTTAGGCTGCATTCAAAGATACTTTATCTGTACAGACATAATTAAAAAATGACCTTGTATCTTGTAAACTATTGACATTTTTAAAGATATAAGCTCATCCCTAACTTATACTCATCAAGACCTTTCATTTAAGTACCCACATCAATTTTTCATATATTTATATACATTATATATATGTATATATGAAAAATATATCAAAAATGCATGTGGGTACTCAAATGAAAGCTCTTGATGAGTGTAACATCGGGATGAGCTTATATCTTAAAAAAGGTCAATAATTAAGAAATGACCATGTATCTCGTGAACTATTGACATTTTTAAAGATATAAACTCATCCCGATGTTCTACTCATCAAGACCTTTCATTTGAGTACCCACATCAATTTTTCATATATTTCTCATATATACATATATATATTAATATATAAAATATATGAAAAATTGATGTGGGTACTCAAATAAAAGGTCTTGATGAGTGTAACATCGGGATGAGCTTATATCTTTTAAATTGTCAATATATTTAAGAAAGTACAGTGTAATTTAACAAAAGTCATTATTTAATATTGCAAAAAAAATTTTTAAATTCAATTTAAAATGAATATATCTTCATTTAATTTTAAAACTTAAGTTTAAAAAAAACGCGCGCCAATTATACCAACACTGAAAAAACGCTTCAATGATACCAAAGCTAAAAAATAAACATTCGTTAATTTTATTTGACAAACACAGTTGTAGACTTGATTGAATAATGACAGAAGTGTGATAGAGACAGATCATACGTAATAAAATAGACATTTGTATTTCTAAAAAGAATTTAACAGAACATAGCATTCACACACACGTTTTTCTTACATAGCTTGTTAAGTCTGTTGATAAGTGAGAGTCAATTTAAAGGTTTATTCAAGTTGTCATTTAAAATAATTCTATTTCAAGACTCGGTCAACACTGCAAGATTTATTGTTGTTTGGTAAATCAATTAATCCTAATTGTTCTTTTTTTTTTCTTTAATGAATTAGTTTAAATAATGAAAAAGGCTTATAATTATCTATTATTTCAGAGTTTAATAAAAATGAGTCACCCATTATTATCCTCGTGGCTGATTTGAGAATAACAACAAACATTCGCAAGTAATGAAGTGATTTCGAAATCACTTTAAAACGTCAATAAACACTAATTACTTACGTATTTTTAAAATATGGAAGATGAGCAGACAAGTGGTCGAGAAGCTAACAAAATTTGTGGTGTTTGTGGAGACCGAGCTTTGGGATATAATTTTAATGCTGTGTCATGTGAAAGCTGCAAAGCTTTTTTTAGAAGAAATGCTCTAAAAAATAAGGTGAAATTTTTGATACAAAACTATAATACTAAAGTTAGCCGACGTCTCTAATATTTTAATTTGCTTCAATCACTTTATTAGAACTAAAAAATAATTTTCAAAAATTGCACGTGTAATTTTTCAAATTTTTTACAAATGAAATTTTTTTTTTAATAATTTTTTCAATAAAAGAAATTATACAAATTTTTAAATGTCGGCTAACTTAATTTTGATTACAAAAGCTAGCTGACGTTTTTAATTTTTTAATTTTTTTTGTATCATTTAATTAATATTACAAATATTTTTTTAAAATTGCATGTGTAGTTTTTCAAATTTTTGACAGATGAAATTTTTTTTTATTTTTTTGTAATAAAAAAAAATTATCAAAATTTTTAGATGTCGATTAAATTAATTTTCAAAATCATTAAAGTTAGCAGTTACTTAGTCATTTTTTAATTTTACTTAACAAAAAAATTTTACTCGCAAAATTATTTATAAAAAATTGTATTTTTTATTTTTTAAAATTTCTACAAGTCAAATTTTTTTTCTTCTTTTTTTTTGCTGTCATTTCTTATAAAAATTATCCAAATAATTAAATATATAAATTAATTTTCATTAATTTATGTCATTAAAGTTAGCAGTTGATCATTTTTTAATTTTATTTAACAAAAAAATTTTTGTCAAAAAATTATTAATAAAAAATTGCAATTTCTTATTTTTTAAAATAATTTATTTGTTATTAAGAAAATTATTAAATATCTGCTAAATTAATTTTCATTAAAGTTAGCAGTCGATCATTTTTTAATTTTATTTAAAGAAAAAATTTTCTTGAAAAATTATTTATAAAAAATTGCATTTTTAATTTTTAAAATTTATAAACGTCAATTTTTTTTTCTACTTTTTTTTTTGCTATCATTTATTTGTTAAAAAAAATTATTAAATATCTGCTAAATTAATTTCCATAATTTATGTCATTAGAGTTATATAGCAGTCGATTATTTTTTAATTTTATTTAACAAAAAAATTTTTTAAATAAATTGCATTTTTAATTTTTTAAAATTTTTACACGTCAAATTTTTTTTTTTACTTTTTTTTGCCATCATTTATTTGTTAAAAAAATTATTAACCATCTGCTAAATTAATTTTCAATTAACACTAAAGTTAGCCGACGTTTTTTATTTTTTTTAAATTAATATATTAGAACTAAAAAATATTTTTTAAAAATTGCACTCAAGTTTTTTACAAATGAAAATTTATTTTTATTATTTTGTCATTTTTTTAATAAAAAAGAAATTCCAAAAATTTTTAAATGTCAGCTAACTTAATTTTCATTAAAATTTATATGTTTACTTTTTTTATTAAAAATTTAATTTTACCTCCAAAATAATAGTTTTCTAAGCGACAAACAAACTGATAATGATAACAACAGTCATAAAAGATAACTAAAGAAAATAAGTGTTGAAATAATTGTTTTGTAGGATTTTAGGTGTCCATTTTCTGAAAACTGTAACGTCACACCGGTAACGCGGCGATTTTGTCAAAAATGCCGGCTGGACAAGTGCTTCAGTATCGGCATGAGGAAGGAATATATAATGACAGAAGAAGACAAGGTCCTTAAGCGACAGAAAGTGGAGCAAAATAGAGCAAAAAAAAGGTCGTCTGACGAGATACGAGGTCCCAAAATGAAGAGAGAAATTATTGAAGATGCTAACTTTGACGACACTTCAATGTCGGTAGCTTCAGTAGCTTCGACAGTGTCTGAGACTTACTTCTGGGAGTCTGATAAAAAGTACACTGACTTAGACGGGAACAGAGAGCGTACTATTGAGAGTATGAGTCCAACCACTGCTGCAAGTGTACCTAGTCCTTCTAGCCCTCCAGAGAATCGAGATATAATTGGTTCTAAAACACTGGACATGCTTAAAGATTCCTCGCAGCCGAGTCAGTCATTTAAAAAATGCAGTACTCATTTATCTACAAAGAATCCTTGCAGTTCAGAGAAACTTATTACGTGTAATGTAATAGAGTCACTGAATAATGAAGAGTATTCTCACCTTGATAATTGTGGAGTTAGCAGCAGGTTAGATGATAATTTGGTATTATCTAGAGACAAGCCTGAAAGTTCAGTGATTGAAGATTGTACAAAAAATGGACAAAAAAATTCATCAATTTTTGCTGAAAAATTGACAATAAAATCGGACTTTTTTATTAAAATTCTTCAAGATAATCCTCAGCTTGTTGCTAAATTTTTAGAAGACAAAAGTACTGTTTCTAAGATGATGTCAGAGCCGCAAGTAGCAATTATGTTGGCGAATGATCCACAGGTATCGAGGCTTTTAGAGCTTGATAGTGATGAATCTAGTAAATTAAATAATTTAACGACTAGTAGAGGCTCTAATAATATTATTTGTAATTTATTGGATTCAGAGCAGCAAAATAGTGATAATCCTATTTTAACTAATTTAATTACAAGCCATAAGTCTAGTGAAAGTGATAATAAAGTTGATGAGTTTAATGGTGGCAATGACTGGAGTAGAGAGACCGATGATGTAACTAGGGATGTAGTTCAAGATGTTCAAAGAATTCCTATAGCGGCCAATTCGATAGAATCGATACTCTGTGAGGCTATTAAATTAGAATTTTCAGCTTATTCAGCTTTAAGAGGGAATCAAAATAGTCGAGAATTGAATGATGCTGAACGGGCTAAGTTAAATGAGTTAATTGTTGCTAATAAAGCACTGCTTGCGCCTTTAGATGATGATATTACCAATTTGATTGGTGAAGAGTGTCGATTCAAGGTTTGTTTTTAATTTTTTATCTTTGTTGTGTTTTTAATACAATTAATTATCTATATTATTAAGAGAATAAAAAAAATTTTGTGTCCAAGATAGTCATATGATAAAACCGGTTTTTTTAGTTAAATTTATTGTCATTAATAGCAAAGTTATTGACTTGAATTTGTGCCTTTTCAAGGTTTCATTTCATTCTAACCGATAGTTAATTTATTATGATGAAGTATTTAGGCTGCATTTGAAAATGCTCTATCTTTAGATAGATAATTAAGGAATAACCTTGTATCTTGTGAAATATTGACATTTTTAAAGATATAAACTCATCCCGATGTCACACTCGTCGAGACCTTTCATTTGAATACCCACATCAATTTTTTATATATTTTATATATTTATATATATTGTATATATATGTATATATGAGAAATATATGAAAAATTGATGTGGGTACTCAAATGAAAAGTCTCGATGAATGTAACATCGGGATGAGCTTATTGCTTTAAAAATGTCAATAATTAAGAACTGACGTTGCTTCTTGCCAATTATCGACATTTTTAAAGATATAAGCTCATCCCGATGTTACACTCATCAAGACCTTTCATTAAGTAAATTTAAAAAAAAATTATTATTGATATTCTATATTTAAAAAATATATGTATTTTTGTACACGGTATCACAATTATTTTTTTGAGTAAAAATAATTCAATCCATAACTGAAACATTTCACTATTTTTTTTCTCCCAGCTTTTGTACTCGTAAAAAAAAATTCTTTTTTTTACATTTTTATGTAAAATAAAATTAATATTTTACATTGAGTAATTAAAACAGTAATATCAGTAACAATAATAATAAAATAAAAATAATTTTTATCTACAATACATTCTCTTTGATTATTTAACAGTATAAAATAGATATTTGCACAACATGAAATAATACATACATAAACTATTATTAATGATAACAATTAATAAGCTAAATACTTAAAAAATTTGATTTTTTTTTACCTATACATGTAATGATACATTATACAATTAAATTGCTCAGTAGTACGCTAGTGATTTAAATCAAATATTTCAATTAATAATGGCTCAACACTTGAAGGGTTTACATTTAAATAGACATCGACAACTTCATTATTAAGCCTATGAAGCTCGGATATTTTTTGTATGAGCTTTAAAAACGTCGATTTTGCTTCACATCCTGGATATATACTTTCTAAATACCTTCTTAATAAATAATAATAAGAATTCTGTAAATGATAAAACCAAGTAGATTAATATACACCCTAAATTATTATTATTATTAAAGGTAAAATTATAAATAAAATAAATTATTTCACCTGTTCTAATTTAATTACGTCGCTGTGAACAACACGTGGTCTATCGGGTGTAAATAAAGCAATGGCACTTAGTATTAAAATAATATTTTCATCACGCCAACGAGGATCAAAAGTCCCAACAAATCTTGCATGTTCAGAATAAAGATTACCTTTGGCTTCTTTCAGTACTTCAACTTTTATTTTCGACATTTTTTCTTGACTGTGAGGTATTTTCCACATATTTTTATCAGAATCATAATTCAATGCTGACCGCAAGATCATCATTTCAGTGCAGCCGCCTTTTAAAAGAGCCAGTTGATCTTCCTGGCACATATTTTTGAAAGCATTTATTTTTTTAGCCATTTTTATTAATCTTCTAATCGCTACTGCTGTCAAATTTATAACATCTAAAAGCATCGGATCAGAATATTCGGCAGTACCCTGTTAAAATAACAAAAATATTTAAATATAACAAGCAACTTTGCAGTCACTATGTGACTGCCGTGACTTCTGAATTATGAAATGAATAAAAGTGTGCATTATTAAATAATTACTTTTGTTAAATTGCACTGTACTTTCTTAAAAATTGATGTTTTTAAAGATATAAGCTCATCCCGATGTAACACTCATCAAGACCTTTCATTTGAGTACCTACATCAATTTTTCTTATATTTTATATATTTATATGTATTATATATATATGTATGTATGAAATATATATCAAAAATGCAAGTGGGTATCCAAATGAAAGCTCTTGATGAGTGTAACATCGGGATGAGCTTATATCTTTAAAAACATCAATTTTTAAGAAAGTACAGTGCAATTTAACAAAAGTAATTATTTAATAATGCACACTTTTATTCATTTCATAATTCAGAAGTCACGGCAGTCACATAGTGACTGCAAAGTTGCTTGTTATATTTAAATATTTTTGTTATTTTAACAGGGTACTGCCGAATATTCTGATCCGATGCTTTTAGATGTTATAAATTTGACAGCAGTAGCGATTAGAAGATTAATAAAAATGGCTAAAAAAATAAATGCTTTCAAAAATATGTGCCAGGAAGATCAACTGGCTCTTTTAAAAGGCGGCTGCACTGAAATGATGATCTTGCGGTCAGCATTGAATTATGATTCTGATAAAAATATGTGGAAAATACCTCACAGTCAAGAAAAAATGTCGAAAATAAAAGTTGAAGTACTGAAAGAAGCCAAAGGTAATCTTTATTCTGAACATGCAAGATTTGTTGGGACTTTTGATCCTCGTTGGCGTGATGAAAATATTATTTTAATACTAAGTGCCATTGCTTTATTTACACCCGATAGACCACGTGTTGTTCACAGCGACGTAATTAAATTAGAACAGGTGAAATAATTTATTTTATTTATAATTTTACCTTTAATAATAATAATAATTTAGGGTGTATATTAATCTACTTGGTTTTATCATTTACAGAATTCTTATTATTATTTATTAAGAAGGTATTTAGAAAGTATATATCCAGGATGTGAAGCAAAATCGACGTTTTTAAAGCTCATACAAAAAATATCCGAGCTTCATAGGCTTAATAATGAAGTTGTCGATGTCTATTTAAATGTAAACCCTTCAAGTGTTGAGCCATTATTAATTGAAATATTTGATTTAAATCACTAGCGTACTACTGAGCAATTTAATTGTATAATGTATCATTACATGTATAGGTAAAAAAAAATCAAATTTTTTAAGTATTTAGCTTATTAATTGTTATCATTAATAATAGTTTATGTATGTATTATTTCATGTTGTGCAAATATCTATTTTATACTGTTAAATAATCAAAGAGAATGTATTGTAGATAAAAATTATTTTTATTTTATTATTATTGTTACTGATATTACTGTTTTAATTACTCAATGTAAAATATTAATTTTATTTTACATAAAAATGTAAAAAAAAGAATTTTTTTTTACGAGTACAAAAGCTGGGAGAAAAAAAATAGTGAAATGTTTCAGTTATGGATTGAATTATTTTTACTCAAAAAAATAATTGTGATACCGTGTACAAAAATACATATATTTTTTAAATATAGAATATCAATAATAATTTTTTTTTAAATTTACTTCTTTGTATCCTGTTGGATTACCTTGAGTACAAGGTAATCGAGGAGTGAAAATACATTGATGATCAATTTCGCCTTTCACTACCACTTGGAACGCCTGTTAAAATTATAACAATAATTTTTTTTTTTTTTTTTTTTATAATTATACTTAAATAATATTACTGACTGTTAGTATCCCAAAGAAGTCCAAGTTTCCATAGAGCCAGAAAAATAAGCATTGGTAATACGAAGAAAAATAAAATTGTAAATAGAGAAAATGCAATTATGTATCCAGCTAAATTAAAAATTTTAATCAGAGTCCATGTGAAACAATGCCAAATCCATCCCAAGATGGTAGTTATACCCATTTTTGCGGATTAAAAAAAATTTATTAAATCATTTTTATTAGACTGTCAAATTTTATGTTCATTTTATTTGTTCCCATATTCACGTAATATATAATATATAATTGCGTCATTGTGTTCGTTGACAGGTAAAATATTTTTAAAGAACCGGTATTGATACTTAGTTATTTAGTTGAAAGAATTTTTTGTCAACGAGTTTGACTTTTAAAGATCTTTTCTCATAGCCAATTAGGTATAGAAAAAATTTTTTTTAAATACTTTTTTAAACAATGCTCATTTGAGTTTATCTTAGTATTTAAATAATACTAATGTATCAAATGCTACTCTGAAGAAAAGAAAATTAACTTGAATCAAGAGAAAAATTTTTAAAAGATGTACTATTCGTCCGAATAAGTTTTTAAAATTAAAAAAAAATTATTATTATAGCCGGACAAATAATGATTTATAATTCAATTCGGCTGGCTTTATTCATACAGCAAACGGATGAATAGAATAAAATTATTCGTCCGTATACAATTCTTTTTAATTTTAGTATACGGATGAATTATATATACTTATTTTTCCAATTAATTTTATATTCTCATAAGTTTACGGACGTATAATATATTTTAATTTTTCCGATAGCCGATAGGACGAATAATATCAGTCAATTTTTAAAACAAGAAAATAATTTTGAAGAGTTTCATTGTACGGATCAAGTAAAATTATCTATATTATTAAGAGAATAAGAAAAATTTTGTATCCAGTTAGTTTAGTGGCTTTGCAAAGGTCTTGATTTGAATTTGTGCCTTTTCAAGATTTCAGATCATTAAGCTGCATTTGAAAATTCTCTATCTCTAGATACATAATTAAGAAATTACCTTGTATCTTGTGAACTATTGACATTTTTAAAGATATAAGCCCATCCCGATGTTACACTCATCGAAACCTTTCATTTGAGTACCCACATCAATTTTTCATATATTTTATATATTTATATATATTATATATGTAGATATGAAAAATATATATTAAAAATGCAAGTGGGTACTCAAATGAAAGCTCTTGATGAATGCAACATCGGGATGAGCTTATATCTTTAAAAATGTCAATAATTAAGAAACAACCTTGTATCTTGTGAACTATTGGCATTTTTAAAGATATAAGCTCACCCTGAAATTACACTCATCGAGACCTTTCATTTGAGTACCCACATCAATTTTTTATATATTTAATGTATAATATATATATATGAATATATGAAAAATATGTCAAAATGCATGTGTACTCAAATGAAAGATCTTGATGAGTGTAATATCGTGATGAGCTTATACTTTAAAAAATGCCAATAGTTAAGAAAGTACAGTGGAATTTAACAAAAGTCATTATTTAATAAAGCAAAATTCTATTTATTTATAGCTCACAAATCACGGCAGTCACATATTGACTGCAAGGTTGCTAGTTTAAGAATTTTTTAACTTAAACCAAGATGAAATTCTTCCAAATTATTTGCTTGATTCAAGTAAATTTTTTTTTCTATACAAAATGTAATATTGCTATCTATAAAATTATTATTGTTCGATGTAATACATCGTAAATTAATATCTTAATTTTAGCTTAATTGCACTTAATGGTTTACATAGTATACTTAGTTTTATAAAAATAAATTTTATGACGCAGCAACACTGATAGCCTCGTAAATATTGTCAATAGCCACAACAGGTGTTCCGTTCTTCGGTTCAGTGCCTCGTTTAAAATGAAAAAAACCCTCGGAATTTTTATCATGTGTCTTAACAAGACTTTCACAAGATATTTTTTCTCCCGCAACGTAACAAGCGCCAATCGCTGAAGGTGCTTTCAATCGTAATAAAGTCAATTCATCAACCAACCATCCTTCTTGGATCTCTTTCGTAAAACCTTTTTCCATAAAATTCCACGACTTCCAAACTGACCCAACGCAGATGACCTTTAAGCCTCCCGGGGCTGTCTTTACATCCTGATAAAAAAATAAATAAACTTAGATTTAAATCATGAATAATTTTCTTATAAATAAAATATCATAATAAAAAAAATTACATTGTGAGCTTTGGCGACCAACGTATTGACATATCGTGCAAGATACTGTCCAGTTTGTGTAAACAAAGTTTCGCACAGTGGATCTTTTTTTTCGCATCCCGCAACAATTTCTTTTGTAAACATTGCAAATTTACTTTTATCAAAATTAGAATATAAATGTGGAAGCATTTCGTTGAGACTATTTACATGGAAAAATGCTTTCATAGCCGCCCAAATGAATGCTGTAGAGTGTGGAGCTTTGTGCAAGCCATCCATGTCATCAAATACATATTTACAAGCTTTGTGAGCAATCCAGAAAGCTACAATAATTTATTAAATAAATAAAACCATAATAATTATATTTTTAACGATAAACAAAGTCGTAGGTAATTAATGATAAATTAATTACCTACAACAAAATTTCTCATCAATAATTTCTTATACAATATTTTCTCATGGCAAAAATATTTTTGAATATATTTTCTCATACCAAAACTTCTTATTGCTCATAATTTACACTGAGAAAAAAAAAATACTTTTATTAAGAAAATTTTCTTGATACAAGAATTCATATGTTCTTGACAATTTTCAAGAATATATATTCTTAGCTCAAGAACGTTAAATTGATTGAAATAATTTTTACTTAATTTAAATAAAGCTATTCTCTTGTTAATCTATTATCCAAAGATAAATATTGATGCTCTAATAATTAATAATAATTAATTTATTAATTAATAATTAATAATAATAGAATATTTGATCCAAGAAATTGTTAATTGAGTAAAAGTATTTTTTTTCAGTGTGGATTATTAATTACATTATTTTATTTAAGAATTTTTATTGTTTTTAATATTTATATTCAAAATTGTGTCATAGTGTTATAATTAAATTTGTAATTGATATCAAATAAATAATTTATTTTAAATAAAAGGGTCCAACACGGTACATATCCATAAATTAATCACGGATAATTTGTCTTAAATGATGATTAATTTTCGTCAGATTAATTTGTGATGTGATAAATTTTTTTTTGAGAAATTTTGACGTAAGCAATTTTTGGGGGATTAATAAAGCCTTAAAAAATTAATTACCTCCGCCTTCATCACCGATCATATGACCCCAGCCTCCACATCCATGCGTAGTATTGTCTGAATTAATTAACAAACTATTGCTTCCTGTTCCCGCAATAAGAACTATGCCTCCGGAATCAGAACCAGTTTTCAAGCTTCCCATCGTGTCTGATCCAATTACGTAGTCTTTACTGGCATACGGAAATTCTTTTGTCAAGGTTTCAATTAATTTGCAATTAGTTTCTTGCTCCTCGCAGCCACTCAAACACAACCCCTAGAATTTTGAGCTCCGTAAATTTGTTTCAATTACAAATACAAATACAGTTTCATTAAAGAAAATTAAAATCATACAACACAATCTAACAGACGTGATTCGGGGATGTTTAAAGTTTCTTTCGCTCTCAGGATCATGTTGTTTATTCTCGTAGCAGTTTCTTTCATACCCAAACCCTAAAATAATTACTGCGTTAATTACCTATATTATTAAGAGATAGTTATATGATAAAATCGGTTTTTTTTAGTGAAATTTAGTGTCATTGAAAAGGTCTTGACAATTAATTTATTATGATAAGTATTTAGGCTGCATTCGAAAATATTCTTTCTCTAGAGAGATAGATAATACTCTATCTCTATCTATAGATACATAATTAAGATATGACCTTGCATCTCGTCAACTATTGACATTTTTAAAGATATAAGCTCATCCTGATGTTACACTCATCGAGACCTTTTATTTGAGTACCCACATCAATTTTTCATATATTTATAAATATTATATATATATGTATATATGAAAAATATATGAAAATGCATGTGGGTACTCAAATGAAAGCTCTTGATGAGTGTAACATCGGGATGAGCTTATATCTTTGAAAATCTCAATATTTCACAAGATAAAAGGTAATTTCTTAATTATGTATCTACAGATTTGTTAA